GACAATTTTGATATCTGATTTATCTGATGGAACATCCTTGGTTTTACTCTTTGATTTGCAAGCCTTGCAGCTTGGGTAACACTTGTGGAGTCATTGTGACTCACAGTCCTAGATATAGTGTCAAGTGGCTATTTCCTATGGTTAACTTTTAACTTTCATCCATTTCGTCATTCTTCATTCAAGAAAACACAATCACAATAAGACATTCAATCAGGTTGATGGCAGATTTAGGATACTGCATGGAGGTATGAAAAAAAGGTTGAATTCATACCTCCATGGATAGTGAACAGCACATTTGTTGTAAGTAGTCATTTCACATTACTAAAATCTACTACATAAATGTAGCTGTACTGGTCATGGGAGCTGGACAACTAGGGAGTTCTAGACCTGTATCCAACATTGGGCTTCATCACTTACTTAAAGTAAATACTATAGTAACTCACCCTCTCCCCTCCCCCATAAGCAAATTTCAGGAGTTACTAGAGGTAATAGATAGAGCACGGTTTGAGGCTGACTATGAGGATTTAGAACTGCCCCGCCCACCAAGGGGATTTCATGTCTCCCGAGGCCAGAGTCAGACCATGTGTGGTGATGAGCCGGTCAGTCTCCTCTGATTCCCCAGGGCAGAAAGCTGGACACTGCCATTGGCCAGTTGTTGTTTCCATGGAAATAACAATGGGCGGGTCCAACATAGTGTAATTTATTCGGATAGTTAGAGCACCTCTGTCCCTAGAGAGGGACCAATTCCAGCTCACTGGTTGGCTGAGAAGAGGGTGGCTGGTTAGTTAGTGCACCTCTACCCCAAGGGAGAGAGGTGCACTAACTCACAAGTATGCTACTATGTGGATGTAATCACTAAAAATCCAGGATCCCTATTGGCTGAGGGGACCTAGCAGTGCTCTAATCACAACTCAACAATGAAGAGCAAGAAATGGGCTTGCTTTGGCCCATGGGATCTCCACACCTGGATTCAGTCAGCCACAACAACTTGGCCCCTTACTCCCTTTTCCCATCCAGCCAGACTTGGCGCAGTGACAACAACACCATCTCATATTGGCAGGCAGCAGACAGCAGCAGGACCTGGCACTCCTCCAAAACATTCCTGCCCAAGTAGGTCATTCTAGAACAAAAGATTAAAAGACTTACCTCAACACCCCAGGAATAACCACAGGCCTGCTGAAAGCAGTACATTGCTTACAAATACAAAGTACAAAATGTATTTACACTTTTTCATTTACATGTAATACCAATAGTTAATGTGTACAGTTTTTGTAGTAGATATAGCAGTTCCCATCAAAGAAGGTGTATAAGATTATAGCACCATTGTAAACTGATGGGCCAAATCTGGCCAAATCAATGCAATTTGTTGGTTTTAGGAATTGAAGAAATGCTGAACCAGGAAGCCAATAAATGTTTCCTCCCAACCCTCTTTTTCATCATCACCTCTAGCTAAATTTTTAGTACCCTGGGAGCCATCCTCGTTGGTCGTCGGGGAGAGTTAGTAAACGCCGCGGGAGAGTTAGTAAACGGGTCGGAGGGCCTAGGGGGTTTGCATAATTACTATCAGCGCGCGGCCTAGAGGGTATCCGCATAGGGTTTCAGCGCGCGGCCTAGAGGGTTTCCGCATGTGGTGCCCAGCGTAGGGCGGGGAGGGCGTGTGCCGGAGACGGGCTAACCAGGGCCCGCGGCGTTTACTAACTCTCCCCGACGACCAACGAGGATGGCTCCCAGGGTAAATTTTTAGGTAAAAAACAAAGAATATGAATTAATACGACCCTTATCTGTTGTTTTTTTCTTTTGACTTTGCCAATGAAAGGGCTGCTTGGACAGTAGCCTAGTAGCATTAGGTACAAACCAACTGCCAGTGAACCCCAGAACTTTTGTAACTGAAAATCCTTAGTTTTAAAGCATGTTCCATAGTTTGGCCTTACTCCAGCCTATCCTGGTATGTCACTCTTCCCAGGAGGTTAAGTTAGAAGCTGCAAGTTCTCATGCTGCATTTCAAGTTCAAAGGCGTGAGGTAAAGCCAGCCCTAGTTAGCTTGGCCAAGAAATTGCCTGTTTGGTTTCACTCCCACTGGCTGGGCTGGCACCACAGATGATTCCTTGCTAAATTTGGGTCTGTTGCTTTGGGTCTGTTGGGAACCCCACTGCTATGTGGCATGAAATTTGGAGGTCAGAAAAACAGTAGTGTCAAGGGAAAGGGTTTGGGGGGGAAGTCAGGCCCAGTCCAGATCAATTATATGGTTCACACACTCCCAAGGTAGCCATTGAAAGACTGTGAAAAGTGGGGTCTGATTTAGAGAATCTTCCAATGCTAGCCCCTAGACCTAGCCCTAGGTAGTCTGCATTTTACTTTTCTAGATGTGAATATTTCTGAATTATCCCAGTCTTAAAATCAAATTATCAAAGAAACGAACTGAAGGAGCTCTTTTATTCATGGTCAGGCAGTTTTTATCTATGCATAACCATGAATATACAATATGTAATACAGTTGTACACATGTAAATGGATTTTCTTTTTTTCTTTCCAGTCCTAGTCTTGTCGTGAGGAAAGCATGCATCACATCAGGATTCAGATGCATCCAGTTGCTATTCCAAGGCTCTGATGAAATGATGGGAATGCAGGGCTGGAGCCCAGGTAAGTTGGAAAGCAACAAGCATAGAGTCCATCAAGAAATTACAGGTTATGAAACCACCTGTAAATTAGAATGTTGACTGCCTCATGGCTGAGAGTGTACTAGTATGCTGATAATGCGAATACATTTCAGCACCAAGGGCAAAACAAACTTGGGCAGAGATTGCGATGTTCCGTTTTAGGTTCAATTTTTACTTCTCAGTATTATTTTGAGTGGCTGTGTGCCAATGGGTTTGTCTTACTGCTTGTCTAGAGTAAGTTGACAGCACATGGGTGGGGAAGAATAAGGAGAGGTCAAAGGTTTTAGAATCTGGCTGCGAGCCAGCAGGGGAAAGTCACAAGTAAGCTGAGGATTGCATATTTCCTGTCAGTCTGAAATCTCTGATTTGTTGTTACTTGAAGTTGAAGTCTTGTTGGTCTAACCACCTGTTGTTTTGAAAATAAATGTTAACATTTTCACTCTGCCTTTCTTTCCTACAATCCCAACAGCCCTCTTATCAATAGGCTTTTCCTACGTCACTCTACATTCCTCTTTAAGTTTCTGCCCTAAGCTTAACTATGATAAAGATGCAGCACTGGTAATGATGGAAACACAGCTGACACAGGGGAAATCACCAAACCATATTGAAACCATCACATCAGCGCCCTGATGGCACCCAGTCTTGATTAATCCTATTCCTAACAAATCTTGGGGAAGACTCGCAAATTTGCAAGCTGTTTTCAGAAGAAACACTTTCGAATTGCTTATGTGAGCAGAGGAGTAATCTAAAACTGGTCCAGAAGGGATGTTTTGCAGTCTTTGTTACAATTTTAGGTTTGTTTGTAAACCTTCCTGCAATACCCACAACAAGCCGATTTACTAAATAATGCAATTTAATAGCAAAGAATGCAAAGAAAAGTACAAAGAAGGGAAAGCCAAAATGTACAATTAGACCAAACGGATGACAGCTTAAGAGGGTGTCATTACCTTCTATCTGTTAGAATCTTTTATCACTTAGGACTTACTTCATTATAAAGATACCGAAAAAGTCTCTTGCCTTTTACTGTGTACTAAGTATGGAAGCAAGGGAACTGGTCCATTGCTGTGTAACTTGTAATTGTTTGGAAACATGCTATCACTTTTGAAACTATCCCCAATAAAGGTTGTATTGCAATGGTCAGGGTACATTTTGTCTTGAAATGCTGTTCTACTTGTTGCTTTGGGCTGTAGGTTCTTTGACAAACTGGTCATTAGAGTCCACTAAATGCTGACAATGAGTCACAAGACCATACACACTTTAGGAAGCCATTAGAGATTAGATTGAAAAGAAAATCTTGTTCTAACATATCTTCCTAAATCACACTGCCAGATAGTAACCTGCTGCCATTGTGTCATGTTGAGCTACTGCCCTGAAGGACTAAGTACAGAAAACTAGGACAATGCACAGGATCAACTGCTCACTGTTTAGAAAAGCATAGAAACTGTTTCTTTTTCAACATAGTTACAGCCATGGTATATTGAGTTTTTGTACAAATGCATGAAATGATAAACCATTATTTTTTCTTCTTTTACAAACACTTTCGCTTGAATGTACAGAGAAGTGATATTTCTTACTATACCTAGATCTACTGTTAAATACATTGTACTTTTCATTATCTGAAATGACCAGCTGTGGGGGTGGTCCCAAATGATGTAGATTCACACATTTTAATTTTCCTTCTTATCTATGAGTACCACATTTTTCCTGTACAGATTAGGCAGAGACTCATCTTGTCCCCGCGAAATCCTTAGGAGTCCCTACAGATCCACGGACAAATCATCCCACGATTATCTACGCTTCCCTGCACTGGTTTGGACCCAGGAGAAATATGGTATGGTCTGTTTTGTACCACAGTAATCACCACCTCATGAATTACAACCTATGATTGTCTCTTATGCACTGTTGAGCTTGAAGCTTGGGCCACACAAATTCTATATGTTTCCTCTTGGCAGTTAGGATTAGTACTAGTATGCTATTGGACACAATATATATGAAGGTTCAATCTTACTTTTGAAATTCATTGGTATGATTGCTTTCTTCACAAAGTATCAGTATAATGAACAGTGCTCAGCTAACAGTGTGTTGTCCTTAGAAAGACAATTTTTTCAATAACCCGGTGGTCTTTTCGAATGATTATGTAACTCAAAATACATATAACACAAAGTGCTGATGAGGATTCTATAGATTATGCAAAACCATGTAAAACATCAAAGAAATTCCCAAAAGTTTGATTTGTAAGTAAGAATTCTATCAGGAGAATTTTTCAAATTCTGGAATTAAAAATAGAATTACAAAGTTGTACAAACTATCGACTGGCCGTGTGATAATGAGTAATATCCTGGGGAAATAAGAAATACATTAAATTTTGTTGGTGGCCCTGGAGAAATGATCATTAATACAATTATTATAACACTGCATACAAGATGTGAAATGTCATATGAGAGATCCCCAGGAGAGAATAAATCAATATTCAATCAAAACTACAAAATCGTCTAATCATAATTTACAATGTAGAATTCAAAATATATTGCAGTCCTATGCTGAAATATGTATTAACTGTTACATGTATAACAAATTTGTACTTTTGATAATCATTCAAGTAACCCATGACACCACCAACCCTCTCACCCCCAGAAAGAGTACAAAATCATATAACATCAACTTTGGGTATCACACAATTTACTTCTTTCCAGGTCACTTTAACCTCTCCATTTACATGTTGCTTTCTTAATCTTTGTTCAGAGTTTATTAGAACAATTGCCAGAGAAACACCTGAAAGAACTGAGGCAAGGGATGGAAAAGTCTTACTACCTTAACTTCAGCACCATGGACAGAGCAGTTTTGTGTGCAAGGTAACCACTTTTACCTCAGCAGCAATCACAATACAGAGACAGGAGAGATTATGAAAGATTCAGGTCTTTAGGACAGCTTTCTACCCTAGCTGCACCTGATTAATTGACAACTGCCATCCTCCAACAGTGCTAGGTCTATATTTCAGGCCTGTACTTACTGCGCCATCAACTTGGTGCCATGTAATGAAGTCATACACAGTAAACAAACGGACTGTCTGCCTCTGACTACTCTTTAACAACCATAATGACTTTCCCTGTCATTAAAACTCTCCATCCGACATCCTCATCGTCCTCACAAAACCTGTTGTCTGCTGTAATTTATGAGTGTTGGCTACTTTGGTTGCTGTTGGCGCGACAACACAAATGGTGGTGAGTCTATAATGTAGACTTCTTGTCTCTCTCCAACGATGTAATGACGATGCTTCAGCCTCCCCTTCTGGGAAAAGTTTGATGAGTTATCCATTAAAGGGACACATGTATATCACAAAATTTACAAGCAAGGAACTTGAAACCAGAATCTCTCATTTCCCTCAGTCTTTTAGTGGTTGGTGGACCTAATAAGGTACACCTTTTGCTGTCAGTTTGGGTCGATTTCAACCATTTGTATGTGAACAAGTTGGTACGTTGATGGCAGAAATGTTGCATTGTTTCAAGATTTCTGAATGTACTTTTGAGTTTTATAGTCCAACTGTTTTGCATTAAATTGTAAAAAGGATAACCATGGCTTTTCCTGTAGAACAGTATTGGTAAAAAAGGACAAACTCTTATCTGACCAAAACCTCTCAATGTTCCATTTCATCAAAGTCTCCTTAAAGGATATCCTTCCTCCTCCCTAAAAAACTTTGTCACGTTTACTTTTTGCATGAGCTGTAATTCACATGAAAGATTTTCTACAAAGTTTCTTTTTAACTAATGGTGCTTGGTTCATTCCCCTTTGTCCTGCAAACTTGTAAGCCTGTTCCTTTCTCCTGAGTTCTATTCAACCCAACAGTTGTGGCAGACTGCTAGACACAGCGGCTCTCCCTTTAAATTGGGAATGGCACCAAAATTGGTCCGTAGGCAAAAACAACGATGATATGGCCGGCTTGTGCTCTTATCTTTACAGCTTCCTACTTAGTCAAATTGCACTTCGGAGTTCCCGCCAGACCAGTGACGATGGAGTAGACACGATGGCTCATCCCGCAAGTTTCACGACCAAAGCTCATTAACAAGATACCTTGGAGAAACAGCTCATTTACATGTAACAAGATCACCTTCAAGCTAGAGATACTTCATACTATCTGGGTCACTAGTAAGGGCACTACGGACTTTGAGTTTCATAGCTTTCCCACCAAGTACAATTAAATACAGTTACTACTCTTTTTCTACTGCTCTAAAGTGACTAGTTATGGGCAGTCGTAAAAGCTGTAACATAAAAGCATAAAGCAGACTTTGCTTTCATTGGCATTTACAGGAAAGAAGTTATGAGATGGTTCTCATGATAATGACACTACTGAGGCATCATGAAGTTTTACAAAGCACCTGCTCTACAGAGCTGTATGGTTGAACAGTGCTGTTTACAGGATTTGTAGCTACAGCTTTTGTGTGGTTAGCCTACCTGAACAGTTTTACTAGTGTTTGTTAGTTCATGAATATGATGATTTAAAATGTCCTGGATAGTCTAGTGTGTTACAATTTTCTTTTCATGGGTAGGCCTCGGCCAGAGGAATCAGTGATCAGAAAGAACTGAAAGAACCTTAATAAAAAATAACATGCTGTGACTCCTTTAAAAGAGAGACAGCTAAGCTAAATATTATACTTAATACCATGAACCAACATTCTAAATTTTAATTTTTCTGATTCATTACCAGAGGTTTGTGCTCTGTAAGTGTGGTCTAGTTAATTTTCGTTGCTGCTATTTACATGTCCATACCTGGTCTCTAGCTTCTCCTGCTTCCATTTCCATTTTTCCTTACCTCCCTCTTTTACTCTGTTTGGACTAAATTTTGACTCCCCCATCGTTGTCATTACTTAATCCATACCCATACCTCACCTCCTAACCTATGATAATTCAATCATGAATAAGTAACCTTCTGCCTGCAAGTTGCAACCCTCTCCCCTTCTTTTAAAAGGCCTCAGTCCTTAAGTAGATACAGTTTCCAATATTGCTACCATTTCAAGTCAACAGTGCTTTGAGGTACATGTATTAGCAAATGACTTCCGTTTCACATTTCACACAGGCAGCAAATGTTTCACTAAGGAAATGGCAGGTTCTTTAAGACAAGAGCTGTTGGCAGAACATCTTTATTCCAGGCTTCCATATGTTTCCCCTCCCTTGTGGCGCCCAGTAATCTCACAGTTGGACAATTTATAGCACGGAACTCCGCCGACAATGACGAGAAATCCCCCCAATCTGGTTCCAAATTGGTACAGACAATTTCTTGTTCACACACTGAACCAGCTCGATAAATCAGCTGGACATCGGTTCGGCCCCTCTTTGATCTCGGAGTCCATCACGGGTTTTGCCCGTCGCCATCGTGGCGCCAGCCGCAATCGAGAGAAACAGCAAATATTATCAGATGTGAAAATCGCTGGGCAGGGAATGCGCTAATTTTCACTGGATAATTTATTTTCCTCCAAATGCTTCCTTGCCGCACGTATACAGTACCGTCAGAGGGGCAATAAGCCCCCTGTACAGCTAATAAAATGCAATAAAGGCTGCCGGGATCACCATGGAAACGGGCGTAAATCATGAATGTCTCCACGATGTCTGTCCACAGCAAGCCGGGCTGTAACTTCCGAGTGTAAACTGAGCAATTACCCCTTACCCCGAGGCCAGCTTGGCCAGCCATGTGGGCCCAGTGCTGATACCATCACAAATTTGAGTGGAAGAGCAGACAGATAGCTTCCATTTAGCAGCCCTACTGCACTGCTGCTACCACTGTAGATGTGGAATTTCTAAATCCGCTGGCACCACCAGGTGTCCCTGGGGTCTGTCTCGCCACTTTTATTCTCCATATCCCCTTATCTCCCAAGTCCATGACTCCAGTCTAACGATACTCCTGCCGCCGCCATGGACCAATCGCTGGGAATTAGCCTCTAAAATGAGCGTAAAATGCAATTCCGAAATTATAGAAAAACAATGAAATGGAATTTGAGCAGCCTGGAATTCACTTCTTGATATCTTAAAGTGCATGTCTACCCAACTTATACGACTTTATATAACGCGAAAATGGCCTGCACAGTCAGACAATGAGGCAAACATGCTATAAAATTTCACCAATGGGTTTTTATAGAAAAGTCAATGGAGCTGTCTCTGTACTAAGAGCAGCCTCTGTGCCTGGCAGCAGTTACATAACCACCAGAGCACTGGCACCACAAATTTCTGGGCTAACCTGTAAGAGAAAAATGTACCTCTTCCAATAATATTATTCTAAAATTAATCTATACAAATATATTTATCTGAGAATATCATCATTGATATTGTAAACAATGATGTCTTTTATGATTGTTCTATCCGTCCACCTCAATTTTCTGGGATACATTTGGCTAGATATATTTATCAGGTCCTGTTAAATACTTATTTCTAGAGTACTGGATACTACAGAAGTCTGACTTGTCCAAAGAACTGTGACATATGGGAGTTGCACTGAAGATTGCTGAGAAAGCTGTACTGTACAATGACCCAATCTGTATGTACAGCCAGGGATGCAACTTGGAATCTAGAAGGTTACAGTGCAAATTTCACGTCCACAGTCCACACTTTGTAACTGTCCTATAACGTTACTGGTACAGAATGTTATCCACACACAAGTTTCTTTTTTGCTGTTCAACATTTATGGTAGAGTAATAGGACATACATTGTATTTTCACATGAAATTATCAAAATCAATCATTGCAAGTCATTTTCATGCATGTTTGGAAGCTACAGAGAATACTGCTATCAAATTATGTTTGTTATCAGTATTGTTTTGTTTTGTTTTGTTTCAATTTGTAAATCTTCTAAGAATCACCCGATCCCCACCCACAAGAATTATGCTATTTTTTGTGGGACATGGAATTGAATTAACTCTTAAATACATTTCTATCAAATCACAATTTTACCATGTTTTACCCTGTTGTAGGAGTCTTTTTTTTTTGCACTCATAAGGATATATAAAATATTTGTAAATACATGTCAAAAATCCTGTGAAGTCCTATTAACTTTCTGGTGAACTTCCTCAACTGCCCTTGACATCATATCCCCTTGAGGAAAAAGAAAACACACAATTTACAGAGATTTGATCAGAAAAGAGGTTACTGCAATAATATAAAACAATTACAATCCATCACACTGGACCATCTGAATCCCACAGTGCAGATACCTGTATATCAAAGCTACTCACCAGTGTGAGGTGCATTTCTAGGGGTTTATATCTAATCCTTTAGACCTTGTCAAGCTTTCAAGCCCCGTCAAATTTACGACAATGTTGAGTGAAGAGCAGTAGAAGTGTCAAAATGTGTCCAGATCACACTCCTCAGGATAATGATGGAGGTTGTATTGGTGTTGTTCCAAGTCATGTTCAGGCTATAGCAATTCATATACTTGGGAATTCAGGGTTTCAAAGTACTCTTTAAGAGCCAGAGTCGGTAACCTTGGTAAAAATTTAGGTTACATGTAGGTTGTCCACTTACAGTCATTCAACATCTCAAACTGATAAAATATCTTAATAACATTTGCTGTCCCTACATGTAATTCTCTGATGTTTCAAAATTCTACTATAAAGAAAAACCTACTTAATTACTAGAAGATCATCCTTGCACGTAGAATGGCAACTTGTTTTCCTCAACACTGTCCCTTCAGACTCACACAATGTACCCACAGTGTCCCCACAATAGACTATATAATATATGTACTTAGGCCTACTGTCCGTCCTCTGGAAAGGACTGTATACCTGTACAAGTAATTTGCACTGGGCTCAAAAATCTGGTGGGCAGATCAATATTATAACCCCTGACATTGCACTTCAGAGGTATAATTACTAACCACCTAACCAAGAAGTTATATGAAAGCACATAAAGGATATCAGTGCAATAAACTACAGGAAAGCATTAATGATCCATTATTGTGCAGAGTGCAGCTAGGATAACTGCTACTATGTATAGTTTGATATTTGAAACAGACAGATCACAGTTTGTGTCATTTTCTAGAGAAAGTGAAGTACATTTCTGTATCTACCATATATCTGCTGAATTGAATTGAAAAGACTGGATCTCCTTTGGACCCCTATATTAGAGCAGTTGGCCTAACTGTACTGGTACCTTATTACACTGAGATATTATCACATAAGCCGTTCCATAGACAATGCCTTCTGGAAGCTTCACAGTAACTCATGTAACTCCTTGAAGACTGCTGGAGGACCATTACCTTGTATCTCTAGCTCTACTGTCTTGAAAAGAGACATTAGGGATATCAATCCAATAAACAGGGCATTGACACAAGATACCAGGTCATCTGTACCCCCAAGGCTGTGTTATGCCTGAAATATCTATTCTTGTATAGTCATCCTTTCCAGGTCAGATTTCCCATCGACAGAGACTACTGTACATGTATACCTGATAATGGGTATGATCACTCATAGCTATATTGAAACACACTGAGGTAATGTTACAACATTTCCATGATGATCAGAAGGAAAGTTAGGCATTTTCTATTAGTTGCTATATAACCATGGCCTCCTATAACCTTTCTAGTTTGTGAGTCACTGAGACTATTACTTGACATGCTATTATGTTATGCAATGCATGACATAGTCACAGTGGTTGAGTTCTCCGAGTTCAGCCATACAAATGTTATTCAGTAGATGACATCTGGAAACCAGGAAAGAATCTGAGAATACAGTATTTACCTTATAATGGCATCTTTATGTACAATCAAAGATGTGCTTTCATGCAAACTCATTTTGTTTTGTGATTGAATATTTTATACCTAATGCCATTTTTACATTTCTTGTGATTATCCTTGCAACAATTCTCTCATTTTGCAGATTATTTAGTAAAAATGTAAGTTACGTCTAGCGTTAATGTTACAAACAATTATGAATGAACATATCCTATGCTAATAGATGTGATCTCTACATGGATGCTATACATGTTAGCTTTTATTACAGCTGGTGAAACTGGAAATTTCAATATTCCTAGTCCAATCAAAGTATCTGTGTCTATGGTTCAAAACACCATCTACACAAACAGTTAAAATATGAAGACACCTATCCCTAGTGCTGAATGCCATCCACACACCAGCAAGCAGGTCTGTCCCTGGTGCTGAACACCATCCACACGCGCGCGCACACACACACACACACATCGGCAAACTGGCCTTTCCTTGGTTCTGAATGCCATCCGCTGATCCAGACACACAAGTAAACATGCCTGTCCCTGGTGCTGAACACCACCAGCGCACAAGTGAATGTGTCTGTAATTTGAATAGATGGTTATATCAAGAGGATTTGATGATGTCAACTTCAAAAAAGGAGTCTTACCGCCTGTTGTAGACAAATCCACGTGTTACACTGAGCTGTCAAGCAGTTTGTATTTCCCGCTCATTCGGATCGCGCAGACTCCACCGGCTGTCCTCCGGTGTTCCCTCAAACAGTCATCTTTACAAAATACTGCAGTACTGAGAAGCTACATGTTCACGTACTTCAACACGACGGTGTGGCTCCCTTCAAATCCCGATGAAAACGCCTTGTAATTGTCAAGATTTGATTTCTGTTCGCGTATGGCGCAGCATCATCATATTAAATTTGGAAGAACAGCCGAATTTCCAAGATGAACTCTTTTCCTACGTTATTCTTTTTGGTACCGATTTTAAGGACATTTCACGATCTATACCAAATATCTTTGTATATTGACTAGGCAGGATGACCTGGTAAGGAACTGAAATAGGAAGTGGGAAATCACCGTACCAAATTTCCTGGTAAAGCATTGTCCCGCCGAGCAGGTCAACGTAGGTCAGCTGAGCACATTTACTGTGGTCATATTGTGGAAAGGGTCGCATGTCTCTAATTACTTTTAAAAAAAGCTTGAAGTACCAAACATAAAAGCAACAAAATGTAACCTAGAGAAGTAAAAGTAGATGTAGTAAATTGAGTATGATATCAGTATTTTTTTCTGTCGGGAGGAATGAAAAAGGGCGCGTTATATTCTAACAATTTTCGCTGTACCCCCCTAAATGCTCCCAGTTTGGTATCGGCCAAAGGTGACTAACGGGAAAGGAAAGCCAACATGGCGGAGGAACTGCAGGTGGAACTGGACTTGTGGCAGAAAAAGTTCCGAAATTCAGAGGAAAACCTGTCAGCACTGAAAAAGCTATGCATCAAAGGTAAGTTCAGCTTTTATTCACATGTCATGCCGACTGTTTTAGGAAGTGATCGCAGGTCGATCGTGTCCTGTGAGCCTCCAAATATTCACTTCCTGGTTGTGTTATTGTCATGCCGAGATTTATGTATACGTGAAAATGGCTTGTTTTTCTCATGTAAATTGCCCGATAACCGCTCGATTTAATGTTATATTGACGGCAGACCTTTGTACTAGATACGTGAAGCTTAAGTTTAGGTGCAGATGGCAGCAATGGTAGATGACACGAACAACATTCAAGGTATACGAAGGCGGAAGTGAATTCTATGAATAGACCATGATGTGTTCTTTGCCCTTGTTCTATTCCCAAAGGACATAGCTTGGTCACAGCGGATTTAACACGAAAGTATTATGCATTATACATTACAACATCTCGGGCAAGAATCCGACAAAACCTTCAAACATCCGCGAATTTTCTTTCGTCATTGCACTTCAGACACACCCGAAAATTTGGCTTGCAAGACTCGTTTCATTTCTCGTAATTTTGTCTGGCCGCTATCTCAAATATCCTAAAATGCAATTAGCCGTCCTCCTGACTTATTTATGTAGGCCTGGCAGCGCACTAATTAGGGGTAATACGTCCAAAATGGAATAAACGTGTATACTGCTGCAAATGGAAAATGTAGCCATACTGTTGTAAGTGATTGTCTTCTGAGGCAACAATGTTTACCTACGTCAGTTTGAAGCCTTTTCTAGATTAACAGCAAAATATTTTTACAATAATTATGTGTGCCTTTCACAAGTTTATCAAAATGACATCATACAAAATGGCACACATAATAACAGTTCAAATATTTTCATTGTTGTATCTTTACTATTGTCATAAAAGTCAGAAATATTCAGATGCAAGGTGGAATTTATTGTACACATGGCTGCTTTCTTTGTTGACACGCCCCCTTACCTTTGTGTGGCTGCCAAGCATTCAGCCCATTTACAAACCAATTTCAAGGTTGTCGCATCAGATCATCAGTAGAATAAATTTGGCAAAAATATTTATTCCAGGCATGATAAAAACATTTCTTTCTTCTGAGGCCGGGTTGTTAGGTACTGTGCAGGTTGGGAGGTGAATCAAAGCAAGGAAGTTTAAATGAGACAAAGTAAACAAGAACTGGAGAAGTTTTGTAACATTGTAGACTGTAGCCAAGCATTCATTGTTTATTCTTTCAACAGGTACATGTGAACTACACACATCGTTCTTTCAGCAGGTTCATCATTGATTTAGTATATAGCCACTGGTTCTGCAAACTATAGTATTGATTTGAATATAATGTGATATTTGTTATCTGCATTTGGATTCGGGGATTTGGATCTGTTAACAGAACAAACTACTAGTACGGTCCCACCATACTGCTGTTCACTGGTTTATTAAGTAACACTGTTCTTTTTTCATCCACAGCAATCCATGAGTTTTCTGAGCTGCAGCTGAAGTACAATGAGAACCAACAACAGGTGAGATCTGTCAGGATCGATCTTTGGACTACTTGACAACCTTTAGACTATGTTGAGTTTGTTTGCATTCCTGGACTATGATGTAATGCTGAGACTGTTTTCTTCCACAGCACCCAGCTGATTATAGATTATTTGCCAGTTGCTCTGCCCCAAATTTTCATAATTTTAAAAGAAATATTAACATTTGTATTAGTATTATTAAAAGAATAATACTAAAACAAACATGTAAATAACCAATCAATACCGAAAACAAAATGTCATTTGATCTCTCTAGCCTACCCTAGCTCATTCTGGTATTAGATTTCTTTCATAATCCTCTGTATGACAAAATCTTTCCTTCCCACATTCATGTTCTGAGCTAAGAATATAAAGGTAAATTCTAGAATTTTTTCTAAAAGATGAGTTGATACAGTAATCTCTAAATTTAAAAAATGAAAATAAGTGTTGTACAAAAATTCTTCAAGTTCCATACAAACTTTGTCCACATGTGCTAGGATAGAAAGAAGTTAACAGAAGATTAGAAGGAAGTTTTGAAATTCATAATTTTATACATGTATTATCATAGTGTTTTATTGGTTTCCAACATGTGTTTCTTTTTAAGTACCGGGTAGATGAGCATACCTGTTAATAACATTTTCATTGTTTTTCCATCCAGTATGCCGAGCTGGCCGAGAGGTTGGAGGTCACAGAAACCCAGCTGGAGAAACTACAATCAGGTAAGATGTTAAGGATTTAAGTTATTAAACTATTAATTAATTTGTCAATGAACAAGATAACAAATGTTACAAAAACAAACCAAAAGCTTAAGTTTCTCCTTGCTGTCCAACTACACTGCCTAACAAATACGAATGCTGTGCCAAAAGGCTATTAGCTTCTTATAAAAGGGTGAAGCTACATGTACACATGTATGTGTTTTTGAGATGGTCACTTCAAAAATAGTGTTCCAGAATAAAACTTTTATATCAGTATGCCAGAGGCTTTCAGGTGACATCTTTTGATCAAATACATTTGCACCTCACTTCAATTTGTACACTTAGGTTTTGTTGTTAAGCCTCTCAAGACCTCTTTGCACAAGTCTTTTAGCAGATTTTGCATCCAGCTGAAAAACACGTCCATTACTGGCAGTGCTTTGGAGGTACTCACAGACTTGTAAGACAGGCTACACTGCTAAAATTTGTGACCTTCTTGGCCTCTTGCTGTCAGCCAACAACTCAGGTGTATGTAATTGTACTTAATAAGATAACTGCTTGTAGTTATCTGTGGCCTCTAGAAAGATCTGCTTTCTGTGATAAAATACAAGTTTGAGCTCCACTATTACTGTAGCCGCATTACACGAAGCTCCAAAATCAAAGTCTTTCCCTTATTGAAGCAAGTGCTTTGCAGAGCAATTACACATATATATCTTAACTTAACTTAAACTAATGATAATTACAAATGGCGGTCTTGTTGGAAGGCTCAGGTGGGATGGTTGTCAGGGCTTTGTTTGACTTGTTGAACCAGTTGGATTTAACAAAGCTCGTTTCATAAAAGCTGTTTGATGTTCAGTTCAACTGCTTGTTCATGACCTACATGTAGGTAAAAAAGCAAAGCAAGCTGAACCGAAAGGTACAAGTAATGATAAATATATATGACCACTTTTATGTTACAGCAAGTTCATATTACTGGAGCTCATTAAAAGGAGTCAATTGTATTTCTCAGTAGTTACCTTGTTATGGTTTATTCTAGGTCACACAAGTGAAAATGTATATTATGTTATTTTAACGCAGAGGTCATTTACATGAATAATGAAGAAGTGTTGAAATGAAACATTGCCAAGGTATAGAACTTTCACTTATGATTATTATATATGAATATATATATTCTGTTACGAAGCAGTCCAAAATCCTAAATTTAAGTGGAGCACATTGATATTATATAGCAGTAGAGAGTTGTATGTAATTTAAATATCATTTATTTTTACTATCACGAAAGTTCATCCGTGTTCTGTGTGTTGGTACATGTACATGTAGTTACATATCTAAGTTTCAACTTTAAACATTAGCTCTGTTGAATATTATTTTTCAGCAATAAAAATCGCTTTGCCTGCATAACCTGGATGCTTATACCATTTACAAAAATTGTTCGGATGAGAACCAAATAACAGAGTTAGTATGGCCTGATGTATAAATGATGCCTGACCCACAAACCTGAAGGCTTCCAAACACATGTCCTACATTTAACAAGACATGCTGGTTACCTAATCTCACAAGTCCAATTATCACTAGTTGTTCCCATTTATAATTCATGGACAGCCTGGAGCAAAATCTTCCAGCAAACGTTAAAGCGACACATTCGTTACCGCTTGTCGTCTGTTTCAATTGGCTCGGTTACCATAATGGACGTGGCGTTTTGAAAGGCACCATTATCGTAATCAGAACGTAATAACTTTGCCGACATTATTGCAGAAATGGGTGATTTTGTTCTGTTTATGTTTCATATAAAGGGTGTATTTTCCATTTAAGCACACCTGAATGTATCAACTAGTGACTTATATGCATGAGAGGTAGGTACAGGCTGATGGTTGATACAATAAAACTTAAATACACTCTTTCCATATGTTGAATGATACAAAACCCATTACAAAGTGTAACTAGTGCCAGCTGCAAGATGGTCTTTCAAAGAATGATCTTGTCATAATAAGGATTTTACTCGATTGATTCGAGTCTAGTACAAGAGATTTACAAGTCTAGTAACGTTATAGCTAGAGATATTTTAACTGTGGCATGTTTAATATACCACTGGTCACTTGAAATTGAAGCTATTTCCAGGCTGGTACAAACTAACTATAGTATAAAGCATGTTGTTTAGACATTTTCCAGAACAGAATTTCCTCCATAAATGTACCAGTATTACTTTTGTAAGTTAAATTTCCAGATGGGATACTTAAGCTAAATGTAGAAAAATCACATCACAAGTCACATTTCCATTGTCATTCCAATGTACAGTGACTGTACTCTATATTTTTTCTATTTGCTGACGTGTTGTACCAAACTAATAGGAGATAGAAACCCAAAAATAATGTTGTATGGCCCTGGCTACCAGATCTTTTTTTGTTTTATGCAAGTTAGATAATGGTGATTTCATGATCACGATCTGCCTAACTCCTGGTCTGTGGTGCTTTGTGAACATGTCGGATCCATCACGTTATTAGCCACTCAGTGACAAGGATTATGGTGATGCGAGGAAAGCGGCATCTCTCCATCAGAGCTCCAGCAACTTGAAAATTGATGCCTCCCAGAATAAAACATGAGGTACAGATAATACATGCTCCTGCTGAGGTGTGTCCATGTACTTAGACTGTTAGACAGCTGATGGACATTTCCTCTCTAAGGAGCTAATGCCTTTTCAGGAAGATTTTCAAAGTACATGTTCAATTGTTGTCCTTTCTTTGCATATAAGTTACCACTATCACATTGAATGACAACACTCAGGTAAGGATATTACAATGTCGTTATTTCATATGAGTTTCATACACAGTCTGTTCCACAGCAAGTCAGTGGGCCCACATAGTTAGAGCAGATCTTTAAAGTTGAGTAGATCTGGGTGCACCTTACTTTAAATAGGATTTACATTATTCTCAAACACCCAAAATATGAAAGAAACATTCAAAACAGAAAGCAGAAATATTCTCAATTGCACCACCAATTAATTATCAATGAAGGAAGAAATAATGCACAAAATTGGGGAAAGTGTGCGTCACTGATGTGTGAAGCATTCCTATCAATGATAGATAAGGGGTATTTACTAAATTGCCATTCTGTTTAAATAGTCATCAGGGAAGTAGAGAAAATGTTGGAATTAGAATCAGGAGAGGGAATTAAAAGGAAATTCAAATGAGAGAGGGTGCATTCATCAAATTTTACACTGACTCCAAAGTTTAGGCAACAAATGGCTGTCTGTCAGGTAATATAAAACATTGAAAGTCCAAGATATACATAAACTTGTCCACAGTTCCAACTGACATAACTTACTTATGCCTATTTTGTTACAGAACCAGTCAGTATTTTATTTATTTATCCTCACGTCCCATTCAGTTCTGCAGATAATGATGATACATCATAAATAACATCCTGGATGTTACATAGGGGAGACATTCAAGACCATTTTCTGACCAGAAAACCAGTGGAGAAGTTATGATAAGGCCGGAATCTGGATGATAATGGCCCTTATTTCCTGTGATGAAGGCAAAGTGTAATACAAATGTCACATATTTGGTTAAGATTAATTAGATGCTGACATTAGTGTCAGTCTCCTAACTCCTTATCCGACAAGAAGTGACTGTTGTTGACCATGTGTTTGCCACGTTTCCTCTTTGGTTTTGTGGTAATCTCAAAGCAGTTTTGTACTTATCTTTCCCTACTTTTGTACATTTTTCAAATGGTGTATCTTGAGGCATCAAATGGCCAAGTGGCTACACTAGTGGACACAAGATTGAATGGTTTGAGGATCAAACCCTGGCATTCCTGGCTATACATGTGTGTTGTGTCCTTAGGAAAGGCACTTTACACTACTTTCCTCACTTTACCCAGATGTAAAATGTGCACCTGACTTGGTTGGGGAGTTAAAAGGCGATGGAAGGAGATAAATGGCCTCTGCCTTCCAATACCGTACCGGAGACATAGTGAATCAACAATCCACTGGCCCTACAGCCTAAAAAAGGCTATGACTCTGAGACTTCCGTTACCTTACGTTGAGGCAACAAATTACAAACTGCAAAGCAAGCAAAGGGATGCACATATCTCTAACTGGAGATGATATAATCTTTTGAGTCCTCATGATTTGTAGGATTTTTCTGAATTATAAAAGGGCACTTTGACTGCTGAAATCCCAATGTATCATATAAAAAGAATATTTAGAACATAGAAATACATAATGAACTGGAATTCATCTGATAAAGTACATGTATACTGGCTGATGCTCTCTATGTAACTTTTATGAACTTGGCAAACCTAAACAGCCTAGAAATTAAGCCATAGCAATACCAGAAATAGCTTTGCACCCTGTTGGAAAGAAGGAGACAGGATTGGAAATCCCTTAGGTTATATGAACCCTTTTATTTGCTGCCAAACTGTCACAGACAGAAATATTGGCATGGCTCGAGGCGGTGGCCTCTTACAAAATTACATCTTGATTTGGAGCTGTAATTGGTGTGTCTTATCACCCCCAGGACCTGTAAGTCACATCTCCCAGTGGAAAGGTGCTGCACAGCCCCTAACTGAGAACTTTATAGCCGGTGATAAATATGTCAGAAAGATCTTGTAAATACGATGTACACTGTACAACATGAAGAGGTGTCCCCTCATACTGGACTGGTCTGGAGGATAGTGGGAAAATTTGTTTTTCCTGGCAAATAGTTGTTTTGTTGTTCTCCATTTTGGAGTGAACTGTGAAATGCATTCTTCCGTCAGTTTCGTAAAAGAAATTATCTTCTCTATGTCCACATATCCCAGGATTGTGTTCACAACGGTAGGTCCCTTACAGGTTGGATATCAGTTTGATGAACTGGAAGGTTTTTGCATGCATTACACTAGAATATATGGTGTTATGAACTTGAACTTGGCTTTGAGAACGATCTCTATATCATGTTGGTACCAGGGCATGATTTGAACTTGTTATATTATATCTCGTATTTGCTGGTAAACCAGTCAATCTTTCAATGGATCAGGCAGCTTGGGTT